GGAGTCAGTATTAGTGCTACTAGCTTTTTTGATACGTATGACATGCATATAGAGGACATTACTTTGAAATTTTCAGAGCAGATGCATCTCAGTGATGTATCACACAAAGGGAATACCACCAGACATCAGAACAACAAACATTGGTGAAACATAGAAATTAAAGACAGAAAAGTGTAAAGTATTACATGCTGCTACTGTATATCAGGAGTGCCATTATGGATGAAGTAGTACCGTTTTAAAGAGGGTCCAGGAACAGGGACCTGGTGATGTATGTACACAGGTCTTTAAAGGTGGTAGGTACCACATCCATGGCCTTCCCAGGTACTGCCTGGTCCAATCAGGAAGGCAGCAGCACTGTCCAAAATAGCTGCCACCTGCCTTTTCTGCTGGTGCCAGACAAGCAGCTCTTGCCTTCAAGAGCTCACCTTTGCGCCAATCAGGCCATTTCCATTTTAAAATCATATTGCTAAGATGGTACAGCCTGAGAGGGGTGTCAGTACTCATTGTTCATCCAGACATAAGTCATCCCACAGCCTACATTGTAAATATAGCCCATCATTTTATCCTGTCCACAGGCAAATCCAATAAATGCCCAAGGAAGGCACATCCCAGGATCTCCCATCCCCACCACTATAGAATGAATACTGGAAATGTGCAAAATGGATGGTCAACAAACAGCCCAAGAAAGGTTAGCTGTGAAGAATTTCAGAGTTGAGAAACACATCTCTAGGCCATGACAAAGCTCACAAACGAGGAACTTAACCAAAGTAGTGAAGGCCATTGTTGTGTGTCTGTGCTGACCAGACAGAGTTGGAGATGGTTGAAGGAATGTCTTCATTGTAACACTTCCTTCAATGTCACTTCCAAACCCATTAGCCCTACCACCAAGAAGGACAAGGTCAGCATATACCTATAAATACCCCTCCAAGCCACACACCATCCTGACTAGAAACCTTATCGATGTTCTTTTACTATCACTGGGTCAAAATCGTGCAACTCCCTTCCTAACAGCTCTGTGGGTGTCCCTTTGGTGAAATGTGGTGGTTCAAGAAGGCAGCTCACTGCCACCTTCTCAAGGGCTATGAGGGATGTGGGCACCAGCCTAGCCACAATGCCCACGTTCCATGAATGAATAAGAAAAAACACTGCACACAAAAGGAGATAGGGAGGATGCAGAAATGGATACTATATCAAATGGATAGGAAGACTTTTCTGAACAGATTCATTGGATTGAGAAGGTCTGCCCTTACTTTACTGGATTTGTCATCAACCAACAAAGATTTTTTTTTAAGAAATATCACACAAAAGAAAAGATGAATGCATTTCCTAAAGAGGAAAATTAGTTTCAGCTCTGTGCCAATATTTAAATATACAAAGCATTCTGGATGGGGAAAAGTGAATAATGGTCCTGTCAAAGATAGTAGGAACTGCAGATGCTGGAGAATCCGAGACAACAAGGTGCAGGGCTGGATGAACACAGCA